TCTAATGAGTCCAAACACGATATTTCTGCTGTAAGTTTTCGAAGAATATGTTCATCATCTGATAATACTGGTGCCAGCATGAAGTCAAGGTTAACAGATAACTAATTACTTTTATTTCGTCAAAATCTTTAGATTACGTATAATAAATTCATAATATCGCTACCTATTCAAATCAAAACAAGTATTAGGTACTTCATGTACTAGTATATAAATTCATCAACACACAAGTAAATGATTTTTAAATATATTCAGAGCCAAAAAATCTTTGTGCATTTAAAAAAAATGCCGATACGGATTCACTATTGCAGGAAATTGTTGAAAAAATATATATCGAGTATAAGTATCTACTACTATCGACGAATACATTTGGCAACAACGCATGGTCTCGGCCGGAACGGCAACATCGCATATTAGAATACAAAGATAGTGATAGAAAGAGAGAGACAGTGGATCAGCAATATCTACGGATCGTGGCTGGATCAACTAAGTGTGCAAGTGTATATAAATATATATATATATATATATACATTTGTCTTTAATTCAAAGGAAATATAAATAATGAACGCATCACATTTAAAACAGTATAAATAGTTAATAATTTAATAATAAGTTAATAGTTTAATAAGTACGTACGTAATATTATCACATGGTAACAGCACGTATTATGGCAAAAATAAACATCGGCTGATTTGAAAAGATTTATTATAGTAATAATAGTAATCTCAGGACAATTCACACAGCTTCATCTAGACCAAAGTTAAGCTAGCTGAAGATTATGTTATGGGTACTGATATAAATACAAAGATTTTTTTTTCGTAAATACATATATATTATCTATACATAGAAAACACCCAGACCGTTACAAACAATCATACTCATGAATACAAATGTTTGCAGCGTGCGAGGAATCGAACCCTCGACCACCAAGCAGGAATCAAAGCAGTGTGCTAGCTAAATCGCTAGACTACCGACAACTAGCTGTACACGCGACTTCGTCCGCGTGGAATTTAACTTATTATATTTTAGAAAAATAAAGTTAAATTCAACACGGACGAAATCCCGTGTACAGCTAGTCATCAATAAAAAAACACGTAGGTATCTCTAATATATTATACACTAGCTGTTCCCGCGACTTCGTCCACGTGGTTTTTAACTTTATTTTTCTAAAATAAAAGTAGCCTAAGTTACTCCTTATTACATCAGCTACCTTCCAAAAAAAGTCCCGTCAAAATCGGTCCAGCCATTTCAGAGATTAGCCGGAACAAACAGACAGACAGACAAAAATTGTAAAATATGTTATTTTTGTATGTACCGTATTTATATTCATATGCAAGTAGTAAAAAACGGTTATTTCAATATTACAAACAACAGGCTTCAACATTCTCAAGTACCACAAAAAAGATGTTTTTATTAAAAACAAGGTGTTCCCGCGACTTCGTCCGCGTGGAATTTAACTTTATTTTTCTAAAATAAAAGTAACCTAAGTTACTCCTTATAAATCAGCTACCTGCCAAAAAAAGTACCGTCAAAATCGGTCCAGCCATTTCAGAGATTAGCCGGAACAAACAGACAGACAGACAGACAGACTAAAATTATAAAAATAGTTATTTTGGTATATGTACCTTATATATATTCATATGCATGTAGTAAAAAACGGTTTTTTCAATATTACAAACAGACACTCCAATTTTTATTAAATGTATAGATGTATAGATTATTATTTATTTATTTATTTATTTATTCATCCAAAATAATACAAATTGTGTAGGATAACGTAATAGTAACATTACAGTAAAATTTTGTCAATAACATAATAGCAACTTAAACATTAAATCTCGGTATATCTATAGACTATCTGGCCCCAGCGACTTCGTCCGCGTGAAATTTTATTTTATTTTTCTAAAATAACAGTAGCGTAAGTTACTCCTTATTACATCAGCTACTTGCCAAAAAAAGTCCCGTCAAAATCGGTCCAGCTATTTCAGAGATTAGCCGCAACAAACAGACAGACAGACAGACTGTACTATGCTATACTATGTATTGATTGATATACCTAAAATAAATATAATATCTGAGGTTTGAACAAAAACTCAAAGGGTAATTTATTTTGAAAAAGTATTTTGAAAATACCTATTTTGCTTTTAGTGTTATAGTACTTTAACTGTTATGTTTTAAGTAACAATGTTTAATTATAATTAATACTACTGCACCAACACTCCGATCGTGCAAAAAATTTAGCTGTTTCATTATTTTTTAGTTCAATTAGTGGTCTACCTAAGTCCTGGGCTAAGGGGGGGAGAGTCATGACCCCCCATGACTCCCAAGACCTCCATGACGCTCCCCCTGGATCCGCCGTTACGTCTTCTTTCATTCGCTCAGTAACGTTGTTACAAAATAAAAGATTCCCATCCAAAAAATAACAAGTATTGAGGTTTGATCTGGAGTCACGTTACTCCAGACTGATTTCTATAAATATTTAGATTAGGTAGACTATTATTTGTGAAATACTAGCTAGACATTATTAAGTTACTGTAGCCATAATGTAGTAGCCCAAACGTGCCAATGAGGAAGCCCTTGGCAAATGCTGCACCCTGATTGGCCCGTTTGAATTGGATCAAGAACTGCTCGTATGCCAAAAAGGTGGATTTGTATAAAATCGTGTATAAATCGCTTAATTATTATTATTACTCGTCGTGACAGTTGTGGCTCAAAACGGATCAACATTTATATATGGTCATCTGGCATTAGATCAACAAAAGGCCTCCGGATCAACAAGTGAAAAAGGATCAACAAAAAACTACCTATACGGCACGTCTGAGCCACAAAGTGCCCAAGGGGATATTTATATATATATATATATATATATATATATATATATACTACTATTTCTTGTAGAATAACAGTCGTAAAGTAGTATATACAATTACATTATATTAAAAAAACTAAGTTATATTTTAATATAATGTCTAGCCACATCGCCGAACTTCTCTCTTGAATTAATCTTGATATTGGTGTTTCTATCATGTTTTTGTTGTGTGTTGTTTAATTATAGTAAGTATAGGTTACATACATGATACATATATAGATAAAACTATTTATCTACTGATCTACTGTACATGTCTGTTGTCGTAAATTTCATGCATTATTAAGCATAAGATGTCCAATTGTTTACCTTCTATGCTAGTAGTATTATTTCAAGTACGGCTTTTGTATTTAGGACACAGATAACTAGTGTGTTATTGAAGTCTAAGGAATATTGTTTTAATAATCCTGTCATTATGTTATGGTACTTATAGTGGAATACTTGAGCGATAATTATAATAACCGTATGTACCAAATTATTAACGATAATAATAAATACAAACAGTTTCCAATGTAACAACCTCTGTGCGCGACGATACAAAATAAGCCTTAAACATCTGTCGTCAGAAATTATAATAGAATAAGGTCGAAGTAATAGAGATTTATACAATACATTAATGTAAACAATATCCATTAGGAGTTTTGTTATTATTTTTTGTTATTTTTTTAATAGTTTGTGTATGTACCCCTAAGACTTGTAACACGCAACCCTTTTACCATCCGGTTTACAACAACCCCAGTATTGGAACGTTATAGTTTTAAATAAGAAATCACTGAAAAAGCGTTTTAATTAGTACATGTTTGCAGAATCTTCATCAAAGTGGTTTTGGTAACACCTTTATTTCAACTATTTCAACCTTCAAGCAGCTTGCTTTGCAGGTATGTTATAGGTTGAATGGCATATGGCAGTGAAATCCTAAGGTACGGGATATTACTCTTTAATCATTAGAAATAGGTGTTTTTTAACAGATGCTAATGAAATGGTGCATCAATCTGCGCTTACGGCATACGATTGCTGGGAACCAATGGAGGATGACATGCTGTATGATGGGCACGAATTTAGGTTAGGTAATCCATGCGGTAAAATGACGAGTAATATTGAAGGTTTTCAAGGGAACTGCTTGGAGGTCTGACATGGCACCTACATTGCTAGCGGTCATGCTATTAATCCAAATTATTAACAATACCTAAACATACCTAGAGGTACAATGAGCATCACAAGGCGACGTGATACTGTTCATGTACTGATTACTTGTGGTATTGTATTTGTTACGGAAGGAAGGAAGGACTGTATTAGGGCTGGTTAAAAATGAGACACGTTCCTAGGTGAGGTATAATAGATGTAATCAGCTCGCTAGCAAAATTATAAAGACCATGTGGCATAAGAAAACAAACGGTATATAAAAACAGAACGTCAAAATATAAAATTCAAATATATATAAAAAACATAAAAACTATCAAAAAGGTTGCCATCGGCAACAGTATTTGCCGCTATACCTATTTAGACGATTGTTAACGCTTTTTTATATGCGTTGTCACTTTGTCAATTTATTAACATAAATAAAAAATATAATGAGATGAATGTGTTGTGGTCTACCCTAAATTTGTCAATTGCATGATATCATACGAATGTGTCTCTTAAAAATGATGAAGGTCGAGTCGAACGAGAGGTTGTAAGTACTGGCACAGTCCAGTGGCTTACAGAAAACTAACGAGATACACAAACTGGCATTCTTCTTCATGGAAAACGTCCTGCCTGTATTGTGTATAAATAATTCTTAGTATTATATGTGGAAAATAACACAACATAAAGTATAATCATGTCAAGGGCGACATGTAATCCCATTTAATGTAAGATTTTTTAAATTAACCTTAACAGTATCTTATCAAATTACGAGTATAATACATATTATTTTTATTGAGTACGAGTGAGTGAGTTTATATCTATTTCAGTATCTTAAATCAGAGTACATTATATAAATAATTATTTTTGAGACACCCTCAGACTTGCCAATGCTCCAAGTACTCTGAAAGCTTACATTGTGATAAGAAATATGAAATATTTGCTAATATCTCGCTCTTCAGACTTACAGATAGTCATTAGGTTAAAACCTTATTTAATTTTGAATATTTTAAGAAACTTTCAGATATTTCATTAGAATCAAAATGTCTGATCTTAGATTGATCAAGATTTAAATTTAGCAGTATTTGTAATAAAATGTTATAAAAATTACATAAAAATACTACACTATGCTGAAAACGACATCACCACCCTCTTCGCCGGTCGTTGGTAAGTAAATGCATTATTAAAATTTTATCCCTATTGCTGTACACTAATAATTTTATTTATATTGGGTAACCATTCTAACGGAATTATAACAGGTATTACTGTTTGTTATAGATAAGTGGTATGTTATCTGTATACATATTCAATCGATATAAACCTTGAATTTGTCCTTCTGTAATGGTCTTAATCATAATATTTATGGAAATGTTGTTATTATATAACGTTTTATATATGTTATCGGATATACGTCGGATATACTGAATTTATTTTTTATATTTTTATTTATTCATTCGAAGGTCTAGCGGTTTAGCACACCGCCATACTTTCGATGGTCGCGGCTTTAATTCCTACTGCTGTATCATGCGAGGAATTAAACCCACATTTACATAGCAATATACATTGCTATGTAAATGTGGTAAATGTATGCAACTATTTAGTTAATAATCAAAGCGCGCTTCGCCGTGCATTACTCTCAGTAATAAATCATATTCTATACAGTGCAGTCATTTAATCTATCGTCTTAAGTATCTTACCGTACCCAGCCGTAGGATATCACAGATACACACATTTGTGTTCAAGTGTATGATTGTTTGTATTAGCCTGAGTGTTTTCTAACGTATTTTATTTTACGTATATAACAAAAAAAGTATTTAAGTGATTCTATTCTATGAAATGTTTAGTATCCATATCCACTCAAGCTCTGCTTAGCTTGGGACTAGAAGGCGCTGCATCAATTGTTTAAACTGAAATAAAAATGTATATTATTAAACAAAATATTGCCATGTCAATTGCAAACAGCTTTTTAGACGTTAGGTGACAGGGTTAATGTGAAATAAATAAATAAAAATTGAATAGTCTTGACACATTATTTATTACTATGGGTCGTTATGACTATATGGTAATTCTAACAGGATATATAAAATCGATGTTGTGTCCACTAACATTATTTTGACCTTTATAACTTCCTTAACACAGTATGTTCATTATGAAGCTGACCGTACAAGAAAAAATCTGATTAAAAAAGAATCTGGTATTACTAGAATTTATATTACAATAGTTTAGCCCGACATTAATAGTACTCCCTGGGTCTCTCCGTGGGCATCGTCGCGCTCGCTGTTTATGGCTTGACCAATACCATCTAAGATGATTTAGATAACATATAAATGTTTAATTGGCCCGGATTTTTGTGAAGAGAGTCTAATTTGAAGTTATAGAATTTTACTCAATAAACATACATTTATATAAATTCCGGCAATAGGCAGGCAATATCGTTTGTTTGCTTCCAATCGTTTTACAAACAAAATAGAATTTAATTTAAAATACAAAACAACTATGCAATGATTTGTTTCGGATATTTATTAATTAGTGTACCTATTGTTGTCGCCATAGTCGTGGTAAAACGCTTACATACTTCTTGACTCTGGTATGACACCTTGAGATAGGTGCATCGCGTGGGGATTAGTGGATAAAAATCAAATGATTTTTAGAAATTTATTAAGATTATGTAATGACGGTTAGATGTTTTCTTTTTTACTGGCATCCCGTTATAGTTAAACGATCTTGGAAAAGATTGAATAACAGTTTCAAAAGTAATGTTAATCTAATAATGATTTAATATTTTTTCTTTAAAATACTCAAGTACTGATGTATTTACTATGTTTGTATTGTGTGTCCGACAAGACATTCCATACAGAAGTCAATGTTGATAATGTTTATCATGTGTGTCTAGATATTGGCACAAAGAAACGGGCACTGCGTTCGCCTGCCAACAAGCGAGCACACTCCTCCAGCCCTACGGGACCTCGTCCTCGAGTACGATTTACTATAATAATTTATTATACATGTGATATCTATTAGCCCATAAAGTATATTTCATGAAATTAGGTATAAAAAACACAGTATCCAAGAACCAAAACCATAGTTATTTATCAGAAGTCCTAATGTATTTTATTCAGTGTATATCCCGATTATGTGCACTTCGTACTCAATTGTAAGATATATGAGTTCTCTTATGCATATAATTTAAAGCAGTAACCTGGACTTCTGAGAATCTTGATAACATATTTTATTGTTTATTTATGTTGTCTGGTTTTGACATGTTATTTATGTTCGGAATGCGAGAATGTAAAGTTTTTTTTTATCAAAATTATTTGTTGTGAACGATTTGTTTCGAGCCAGCACCGGACTGGAAAAGTATAGAGATAGATCGAAAAATAATTATCAGAACTGACTCAGGATTGGTGAACTTAACTGATCAGATAAAAATGCTACAAATTTTGGAACGCCGTTTGTTTTTAGGTCAATTCATTCTTACTTTTGATTTATTGTAATATTTGAAACATTACAGGGAACAATATTTCCAAAGAAACCTCTTTTAGAAAGAAGATGTCAAAGTTTATCACCCTCCCGTGTAAGTAGACTTAGTGAATAAATGAATAATGAATAGACTAATATTTTATTGAACTCTACTTACAATAATAATTTTTAACTAATTTAATATAATTCGACTAACAAACATTTTAAACTACATAACTTAATAATGGCCTTAATGTTTTTTTTACGAAATATGGTCTAGGTTCTGTACTAATTTATGAGATTTTTTTTTCTAAATTGGATCAGATTTGTGAATTTTCACATGTGCACCATGATATCCGTTGTCCGATTTTACATAACTAGGTACATTAATACAGAATAAAAAATAGTGATACTTTATTTAAGCAAAATGCCGGAAGTGGGTGCTATGGAATCGAATTTCTGTATATTTTTTTATTAACACCTGTGGTTTTTATTTTAAGGAAATCCAAAGAAAATCCCAGGAGTCGCCGACATTCGCACCAGTTAGCGCATCGGCTCCGGAATCGACTACTATACCGAAAACTCATAGTAACCTATCAAATTCTGATCAAGGTATTATAGAGTAAAAAGTATTTTAAAGGTAAATTATAGAATATGGAAAATGTTCTGATAAAAAAACAGGAAAGTAAATAATTGGGTAATATGTATAAATGTAGCTACATCAAATCGATGAGATGTGTGTGTATTTCGATTATTAATCAAATTAGTTTAGACAAGCCGAGGTTTGCTTTGTATGTTAATTTTTAATTGTGTTGATATAATATGTAGTTGCTTCATGGGTTTCTATGCCTCACCTCTTTCAATCGCCAAACGGCATATACTACCAAGGCATGATAGCTCTTAGTCCTATCACGTCGTTATATGCGGACGTGATGATCGTGCTACTATATGTTCTTGTTTATATATGAACATATAAACGACGGTTACCATATACTATTAATTAAATGATCCTTCACCACGTCTGTCATTCCAGTTATGTGAAATGCAAAACAATTATTCTATGTGCCTAAAGTCTTCTCTACTGATCGTCACTGTTATCCACAAATGTGACGGGTGACGACGGAAATAAAAAGAAGCCCAATTTTAACCAGATGGTTCAAAGTTATCACTTGTGTGGAGTCCAGTGATAAATAAATTTAAAAAAAGTTTGGTAGCAGCTTGTACATAAGCTGCTGTAATCTATCAATATTAACATCTTATCAGAAATATATACGTGTGAAGACCCGACTAACTATTTTATTATAATAAATACTCGTACTAACGAGTATTTAATAGTTTAATAGTTATACCTATTTTTAATAAGGGTTATCATGTAAACGCAGTTTTTATTCAATAGTCTCTAGTGTATTTTTATGAGATATATTGGTCTTTGTCAAGCTTTATCAACATATTTATTTTTTTTAGACAAAGAACCCGTGTTACCTCAATGTGTCTTAAACAAAATGTTGAGGAACTTGTCGACTAAAAAAAGGGAGTTCGTCAAATTAAAGAAATCTGTGATATCACAACAGGTATACATATACATATGTACAGCCGATTTCGACATTTATATATTATCTATTAGATCCGTATTAAATTCGGTATTAAAAATTAGCAATATGTACGTAGTATTATAATATTTTACTCTAAATATTACTTACGTTATTATTAATAGTCTATAAATTTCTTTTAATAGCTGATAAGGAGATGTAGCTCAGGTCTGCGCTATGTGTATGTAGTTATATACATACATATATGTCGGCGGAGTAGAATTCAAATATGACAGCAAATATGAGTATAAAGTCAATTAGGTCAGTAGGACGACGAATTAACCACGATGCTTTTCAGAAGGATGGAAAGTTAAAACTTACAGATGTCAGTGTTGGCCACTATAGTTTAGAAAATAATATATGTAAGATCATTATATATTAGAATATTTTATCAATACGTAACTGCCTAGGCTTTGATTTGAGTAGGTGTTATTTGTCATTTTTGTGTGATAATCAGTTACGAGAATAATATAATATATAAAGAAAAATTCCTATTTCCAACAAGTTAAAGTGTTACAACGTCTCTTAGAAAATGTGACATATTATATTATATGTTATAGCTTCAAAATGCAGAATGATGTCTATCTATTTGATACTGTAGTATGGAAATATACATTACTTAATATTACTTATTGATGTATATTTAATATAACAACATATGGATTACGTATATTTTATAGAATGCGCTGTTGGAGCAATATGCGTCTCTGAAAGAGATGGAGTATCGTGCTGGTGCCACTAACGAGGAATCTTTGGGGGAGGTGCGGGTGCTGTCGGTGACCGGATGGCCAGCACACGATCTTCTACTGCTCGTACGTGACGACCTTGAATTGCCATTGACCTCGGATATTAGCGGTCTCTTTGGTACGTTGGTGTTATAATTTCCTTATCATTTAGATTATTTAGTATAACTTAACAAATTAGGCATTTGGAATTAACAGTGAAAGAAATATTTGTACTTACGAGCTTTTCCTGTGGTTTTTGGCGCGGCGTATTTTTTTACATTCATGTTCCCGTGGGAAGTTCGATTATATTACCTATTGCAGAAAATTTAGAATATTGAAATGCCATGTGCTCATATTAATATTTCTAGAAACATAGCTAAATGACTTGCGTTGTAATATTGTGTTACCTATTTATACGTAAGTGTACATAAAATATGCATTACCTCAAAGATCAACATAGAATTATGTTATTTACATAGACTGCAATAAATTGAATTACGTATATTATACACACGCAAATCAGTTGACACGACTTAAATTAATTCTGCGCAAACAGAAAGTGCGCCGTCTATGCATGTTAGGTATATGTAACATGAAAAATATGTTACAATTATTTATTTATTTATAATTGCACATGTACAATACAATAAATTAAAACACATGGACTCCATTTAAAGAGTGTAGCAATTTGGTAGATAACTCTTTCCATATTTTAGTCTGTCAGTTTGTTAAAACGAAATGAAATTTAAAATTTCAGTCTGCTTGACTTTATAGTATAATAACTTAAAATACGATTAATTTTTTAAATTAAAAAAATTAAACGACGATAAAAAATTACAATATTAATAAATTTATACCAATATTGTTGACTATACAGTCAACTGCCAGGGTACCTCTCTCTCCTATTTAAGTTACGAAACATTTGTATCGTAAATTGTATTTTAATTAATAGACTGAAAGTATAGAAAACTTAAGTATATGAAAATACATAAATATGTACTATCGTACTCATATATGTATATCCGCCTATACATAATAAAATGCAATATTTTAGATAATTCATATTATAGATTAGATTCGTATATACAGATTATATTTCGTATTAGGTATAGATAGATTGTACTAAGCTTTAATAATATGTATATTATTACTATTGCCGTGGCAGATCATACAAAGTCTGCGTATATACCAATCACTGACTCACGTAATTCTGGCGTCAAACAGCCTGCTTTTTATGTCTATGGTTTGACACTTTAGTCCTCAGAAAAAGCAACATATAAAGAGTAATCACGGGCGTCACGTGAACATAATGTTTATGTCGCTGTTCATTTACTGTATGGTACACAATCTTTATTTTTGATAATTTTGTGATTTGACTTCCGAGCTTAATAAAAAAGTAAAATGAAACGGCAGTTACAGCTGCTGAAATAAATGACGTATTCGATACTGCCTGAAATTAGATTTTAAGAATTTTGTACTTATACTAGGATAATTAATCTGTGATATATATTTTTTATATTTTCTAAATAGGCGTCGATACAATAAACAATTAGCATTAGGTGAACCGTCAGCCTGGTTGTCGTTTCAGTTACATAAAAACTAATTTGTGCAGAAATTTAATTAATAATTTAAGAAATATTATGAAAGTGATATTTCATAGAGGTCCTATAATTTTTTCTATGTAAATTTAATATTACAGTAAATGTTTGGTTGAATGATTATTTTATCTAATACTAGCTACCCACCCCGGCTTCGCACGGGTATATGTATTATACATATAAACCTTCCTCTTGAATCACTCGTATCTATTAAAAAAAACCGCTTCAAAATCCGTTATGTAGTTTTAAAGATTTAAGCATACATAGGGACTGACAGACAGCGACTTTGTTTTGTACTATGTAGTGATTTTTATTAACCGATAACTAATTACAGGTATTTGCTACTATCTGCATTACTTAGTAAATAATCTACTACTACATAATTACACATTGTTTTCACGATATCATATCAAATCATATTCTTATTGTTGTCTTAAGACAACAAATGTAATGGGTTTAATATTTTAGAACAGAATGACGAGTTACTATCTTATTTGCTAATTTCATGATACAAATCAAACTACTAAATATTTTACATTAGGAAGGGTGGGAATTGTTATTAATGGAAATTACTGAGCCTATAACTAACAATATACTATGTTAGGTTTACCTCTAGGTCTACAACCATGGAAACCAGTGTGGTCAATACATTCGCCGTATAAGTCAACCTGACTTCATACTCATTCTATCCTCATCCTGGTGTCCTGCCAGCATACATATGTATAGTATAACGTTAGCGCAGGCAGGACCAATATTTCATCGTCACACATTAAAAGAAATACTCAAATAGATACTGTGTGGGGGGAAAGGGATTGTTAGTAATGTGGACTAATGATCCCATTGCTAGCAATGTACCATGTCAGATCGACCTCCACGCGGTTCCCCCTGGAAACCATCGTGATACTTTCCCGGTGAATTTGTCACGTTGGGCTAACTGATCTGACTTCATGTTCATCCTATCATCCTCCACTGGTACTCCGCCAGCGTAAACCGTTAGCGCAGGCACCGTTCCATTATCATCCTTTAAAAAAAAACGATACTGTGTAGTAGTATTTGTGGTTATTTCAAATTGTACAATGTAGCCGATAGTTTGTGCCGCTTCTGGCAAACTAGATTAATGACAATTTAAGCTTCTTTATTATGTACCTTCTTCACATACATAAAATAAAGTCACTGCCTCTTCAGATAGATCATTTAAACTACGCTAAGGATTTTAATGTAGTTTTTTGCAATAGGAAGAGTGGATTTATGAGTAAGATTTATATGTATAATACATGTACACCCGTGCTAAGCCAGGGCGGGTAGCTAGTATAAATAGGTTTATTACTATTTTTATTTCAAAACGGCAATATTTGGTATATCAAATTATAGAAGGACAGAACTAGAGTTGTTTTCGAGAGTTTTTTATATAATTTGAATGGCACACAAGCTGTAATTGGTAACCGTCGTGACTAAGATGGCATTCGTCTTATAATTTCACTGCCTAATTTGCACCCTGTAAACTAAACACAGATTACAATGCATGCTGCTAGGCGGCTGATATAGCCGAGATCCACGGATACGATTTTTTACAGTCTACCTAGTACAATATATATTTTTTTTATTTGTGAAGCGACATGTATTGTTACGTTTGTTTGTAAGATGCATAACTAACTCAAAACAAGAATATGATAAGTACGTACTTATCATACGTTCTTTCTTACTATTCCGTCTTGATAGGTATCAAGACGGAATAGTAAGAAAGAAGTTGATCTTAGTGTGCTTTCGTTCTTTCTGTCTACGGTTAATACATTTAGTACGAATTTTGGGCAGAATAAAAAAGGCAATTTATTCATACAGGCCCTCAAATAATGCAACAGTTGCATGCACAATTGAATAGTATTCCAGAAGAAATACTCGGAGTTGGCGCCGAACTTATGGCGCGCCGTATTGACCTTTTGAACCTCTTACGATGCAATCACCGCAATGATCGCTCTACCTACCTTACTGTTAGTATCGTATAAAAATACTTTTTGCATGGGTATACTGAAGAAAATAAGACCAAATGTTATCTGTACAATATATTTTTATATGTATGTGTGAAATTTCATTAATATTTTATTTTTATTTTACAAATTTTTTTTAATATTCGAAATATTGTTTAGACTATTAAAAACACAATTAGCAAAAGTAATAGATTTACAAGTTCTAAAGTACACTTACATTCATTTGGCAATAGGTTTTTCTATATAGATTAATTGTATAAATAGATATTTCTAATAAATTATTTACAGAATTTGGAATGGAAAACAAAAAATACCGAATTTGATCATGATACGGAGAAATTGCATAGAATGGTGGCGGGGCTGGCAGAAAATTTAAAAGCCAAGATCAACTATGCGCTAGAGCTGGCTAAGTATGTGCAATCTGAGAATTTGTTTTTAAAAAATATTTATTTTAACTTAAGTATAGTATAACTTATATATATATGGTGTTATATAGGATTCCATGGCTTGATCGCGATGCTATGACGAAAAGGATAGATCGTGTACATAAAGAAAATATTATTCTTCAACATAAAATAGAGAACATTTCAAAGAAAGAGAACGAGGAAGGCAAAGAATTTGGAATTTTTGACACTACGCCTGCAAATCAGGTTAGTAATATAGGATAAAAGTTGAAGAAACTAATTAATAATAATAATAAAAATGAGAATCCTTTTAAAAGGTTAAAAAATTATAAAAAAATATTATTTTATTTCATAAATTGATGTTTAGTTGGTATGGTTGGTTATGAGCGCTATCTTTATGCAATGCAACTATAAATTATCTGTAGACACTCCTACGTGTGTTGTTCATTGTAACATATTTTTTTAAAATATGTTCCAGGCATTATCTGAGGAGTTATCTAAGGAGCGAGCAGCAGGTGAAGCATTAAAAGAAGTGGTAGCGGCAGCAGAGAGCATGCTTCGGGTCGCACGCGCACGTATATCTACGCTAGAGCGGCAGTTGAAAGAGTCCCGTGCAGAGCTGGAGACGGCGCGGCGCAAGCACAAAGACCTCGAGCAACTCGTAAACAGACTCGCACTCGAACATTCACAGAAGACAGTGAAGTTGTGACACTCTACATTGCACCCCGATAAGTTGGATAATATCCGACATCTTTGCCGTTAGGAAAATTATTCTGCCATGATGTTAAAAGCCCAAACTACATTTTATAATTGTTTATGAATTTATAGTTGACACTGGGCCATACCGAATATTATTAGTTTACCTAACAATGCACATAATGGCATGTGTGGATCGGGAATTAATTAATATAGGCAAATGGGAAAATTTCTGTAATATGTTTATTTAATATCGTTACGTTATTAACCTGGTACATTATAAATTGAATCTAATTCACAAGTACTAACTGTCAATATCGACAATGTTTTATTGTGTTCTTTAATGTTAGTATTGATTAAAACTGGCTATATTGACTTTGCAGTATCGTCATCGAGAGACGAGTTACGACGCCAGATCGAAGAAGTTACTTGAAGTGTCCAAAACTGGAGAAATTACTATTGAAGCATTATCTCGACAACGTGATGCTCTTGAACTTAGGTAGACTAAGCTGTATGATATGCTCTCAACCAACTAAAAGTAGATGAGTAGTTTTTGAGATTACAAGACATAATCTCAATAACCTTCTAGGCAGGGTTTATTCAATTCCACTAAAAGTGTATAAATTGCAGTTGAAAAAAATGTATCAACGGTCATACATAGTATAGGGGTTATGACGTTTACAACTTCCCGTGCCCTTGTGATATTTTCCGAAACCCTTCTTCTGAACTCCCGTGAGACATACATCCTACCGAGATAGGGATCTCGGTAGGATGTATATTATGGTTACCTCACCAGAGTGAAGGAGCTACGGGAACAAGCAGAAATGGCTGAACGTGCCGCTGAGGTACGGGAAGCAGAGCAACGTGCACGCGGTGATTCACTTCAGGCGAAGGTAGCAGAACAGGTGCCATGATGTTGTCTCAATTATATGTAGTATATAGCTGCTGAAGAGTTTGTTGAAATGCGTTAATTTCTGAATCTGTCAGTTATATGTAAAAAAAAAATACTTTTTACATTCTATGATATTTTCAATAATAATAATAATCACAGGACAATTCACACAGCGCCATCTAGATCTAAGTTAAGCTAGTTAAAGCTTGTGTTATGGGTACTAGACAACTGAAACAAATACATGATATTTTTTTCGTAAATACATACATATCATACATAGAAAACACCCAGACCGATACAAACAATCATACTCATGACTACAAATGTTTGTACGGTGCTAGAAACCGAACCCGCGACCATCGGTAATAAGGCTTAAAACTTGAATGATTAAACTTTATGATCTTAGGAGAAAAATAGAGCCGCAGCAGAAATTAAAGTGGTAGAATTGGGCGGACGTGTCAAGGAATTAGAGGAACATATACAAACTTTACGTGAACGTTCAGTGAAACTGGTTGACATGGAACGGCGACGTTGTCTCGAATTCATACCTTCAAAAGGTAATTGTAATATAGTTATTAATAATAATATAATATCTTAGAACAACGTACACAGCGCCTTTTAAGCTAAACAGAGCTAATGTTATGGGTATTTGACAACTGATATGAATACAAAATACATTTTTTGTAAATACATGTAGGTATAATGTACATATAAAACGACGAGACTAATGCAAATGATCATACTCATGAATACTTGTACCATGCGAGGAATAGAACCCGCGACCATCAGTACATAGGTAGAAAATAAGTTGAATATGTAGTAAATTAATTAGTAGAAATACGTCGAGCCTTCTATACCATATTTTATAATATGGTTATATATATATGTTCTAAATAACAATTTACACTTGTTAGGTAATAAAACAAACATTTTTAGTTTCGCATAATTTTATAGAAAATGATCCATCGGATAGGGAAACTGAAATCTGGAAGGAATTGCAAGCTACAAGGGCAGCGCTATCTCGAGCCGAGGAGGAATTACGGCAGAGCAGAGCGGATAAAGATAGTTTCCTAAATTCTTTATCTCGGATTGCAGTAAGTTATTATTCACTATTTCAGCTATTTATTTAATGATCATGCTGTTACGGAAGCTTTTAGTTCCGCGAGAGCTTATTACTTACATTATTTAATCACCTACTGTGCAAATGTGCTTATATAGCTATGTGTTAAAAAATAAATCAGATTTCATCAGTATGATATATATATTTATATTCTCATTTATAGTGTCTTCGTTTCATGTTATATCATAGAGATGGATTGTTGTGTTTTGTGATTAGCTCCATCGTTTCTAATAATTCTGCTTTAAGTTTTAAGATTGACTAAATTACTGTAATATAATTTCATTGATATTCATTCAGCGACAGACTTTCGACTGTTATGATTTTCATGCACATGATCAGGACACATTGATTGATGGCGACAAATAGTAGTCAATGTGTTCTTCGCAATTTAAATTTCAAGGCGTCAAGAGGTAACGATAAAATTGACTATCACATAATAACAGTCAAGATACTGCAATATCCATAGTGTTGCATATTCTCTTATCTGTTATATAGCTAATAATTATACTGTATCATAATATAAATTTTATTAAGGAACTCAAAATTTATTTACAGCAAGGCGAAGGAACTCAAAACGTACAAGATAAGATGGCAACTGAGTTATTAGATAGTGAACAAAAGATAATAAAACTGCAACATGTTATTGAAGAGCAAAGAGAAAATGAAAAATTAATGTGTGTATTATCTTTGTGTCTATAATTTCATCTGAGTACTAAGATATTGTTTTTAGTGTTACAAATGACAAAAAAACCGATGGGTCCTCCTGAATGAAAGTCATTATATAAAAACTTGCACAGCAACACCAGATATAAAAAAATATTTTATGTAAATCATCTCTTTCTGGAAAACTACTAGTTTACAACAGACGATTTACATAAAATATTTTTTACATACATTACTTACAGTTAGTGTTCTGGTTTGAATTATATGGCAGTAATATTGTGTGATATACAGGCACCACACCTTTCATTTTAGGTACTTATGTCAATCGTAGACGGTCAGTATTATCTATCACGTAGATTATCGAAGATACTATTTTATGATAATATTAATATTATTATTTTAATGACGAATAAAAAAAAATTATCTACAGGGAGCAAAGTATGACGCAATATGAAAATCAGTTAGCATCGTTAAGACTTGAAGTGAAAAGATTACGCAATTACGACTGTTACGCCAAAGAGGTTCCATATCAAGAATTGCAAACGGAGGTAAAATTTCAGCACTATATCTTGTATTAACTGTTGCTCGCAGCAGATAGCGTTGTTCACCTTGACATTTTAAAAAAGACTTTATTTGTATAATAATTAAATCTGTTCTAAATTTTAGTTTCGTGGACTTAGTAGTTTAAATAAGCGCTGATAGTAATAGATATTTTATAAGTGATAGATGAACTTTATCAACAGGTATAAAAAACGTATAGGTTCTCAATTCTATTCATTTGAAATTATACATTATGCTATATTTTTACTAATCAGCATGTGAGTATTCTTCAAGAACAATCAACAACGATTTTTTGTTCTGTCAGTTATTGGAGCTACATATGCAAGTGGAAACACTTTCACACGAAAGAACTGCGTTGATAACGGCTGCCGCTTCAAGGGCTTTGATGCTTGAACGACACGAAAGAGCCGCAGACCTTTTCACACGAACAGTACGGGCACGTAGAGACCTCGCAGCTGTCCTTGATGGTAATGGAGAACCGCAGCTAGGGGACCAGATAGCTCATGCAGAAGTAAGAACAATTAATTATAATGTAGATACACTAAATAAGAATAATCTATTATTATAATACCATATCATTCAAATTTAATGTTAGTGAACATTTCAGGAATACTTAAATGTATTCCTAAAGTTAAGTTATAGTACAAAGTGTTTGAATTAAATATTTATTTTTCTAAATTAGCTTTTTCTTTTATAACAAAAAATCACAACTCTGTAAACTATTGTTTCACAACACTACTTTTAAAGTAGATTTTAATGAGCACATTTTGCTTAAAATAGCATGGCAATATCAGAGTATCAGTATGATTGGATGATAATTATATTGGATACTCATAATTAAAATTTATTTGTTCGTAGATCGTTATTCAGTTATACTTACCTCTGACATCAATGGCCACTGTTGCTTAATATTGCTTCCATCAATTAAGGTGTAGGTAAATAGTTGTAAAATAATTTTATTATAAAGAAACATGAAATTGGTCAAAGTTATAAAATGCTGTTTTGACGCACGCCTCCATTTGTAATATTATATTTTTATTAGAATTCTATTTTGATTGGTTTAGGTATCAAGGTCATTGTCATCTGTGTGTGCAAGTGCTGCGGATACGTGGACAGCATTAAGAGCTGAAAGAGCACGAGTGCTGCGACTAGAGAGTGCCGTGCTGGAGCAAAGTTTACAATTAGAGCGGGAGGGACGAGTACGGACACAACTTGAACGACGCCGAGCTGTACTCGAGCGCCAAATTGTGCGATCGCACCACTCGGCATCTACGGAGCATTGGGTTATGGGAAAGAATCCAAGTTTAGTATTTAAATATACCCTATAGGATGATCGCATATGGTGAAACAATCACACCACAGCCGAGCCGATGGTATTTGCAAATATTAGTTAGTATTGCAGTATGTGGATATATTCATCATTTTTCTTACTAAAGTTGCAATATTTATCTGTACATAGTTGTACTATATACATATATATCCATATTACGAGTACATGGCATACATTGACTATCTAACTTAACACAGTCTATTCTGATTCTGTTATAGTGAGAAATTGGTAGGAAATATAGGGTCGGGACTCCCGTCTGCGGTCATCTATATTCAAGTTAACAATTCAAAACACTCATGACTAGTATCATATTACTTTCTTAACCTTTTTATTAATATTTTCAGATTCAGGACATTTTTTGGAATAAATAAACAGAGGTGACAGCGGAAAAAAAAAATTTAAGATATGTTTGTAAATAAAAATAGGGTCGGGACTCAGTTAAGTTTTCAAAACACTCATGGTATCATATTACTTTCTTAACCTTTTTATTAATATTTTCAGATTCAGGACATTTTTTGGTAAATAAACAGAGGTAATTTATAACAAAAGACATTAAATTTTACATTGACAGTCGAAACAGCAGATGCGACATAGTACAGTTTACAGTTTATGACCAGCCAACTTAAACATTTTACATTTTTTGTCATCTCGTGGTTGATTAGGTATTAAGTAACGCAAATTTGGCGAGTAATTGGCAATTCGTTGTCCAGTTGGTGATATTACTCCTCTTAATTGCTGGAAGTTTACTTTATTAATTCCGGGATCAGGTCCTAAAACCCATCCTTGCGTATTCATATTTGTAATGGCCTTCTTATGGTCAAGATTATCGCTTTTGAATATTTCATCTTTTGTAGGTATGTACGTTTTCTTAACGAAATTGCCCATTACAATCTTTGTTGGTACAGAATCTGGACCTGAATGATAGATAGTATTACCTTCACGGTAATCAAAGTCTTTAGGTTTATCGCGCCTATGTTCTCCACCATATTTCCCACCTGATGGGTACTCTTGTTCTTCAATATTTGGTTGAGATTCTAAAGGCATTCCTAATTCATTTTCCAGAATTTTAATTAAGTTATCCAGGTTATTATTTGGAGTTTCTATACCATTTTTAGTTTCCATATTTAGTAATTCGTATTGTTGAAGTTTATTTTCTAATTCAGTTATTTTATCTTGATATTTTATACTTTGAACATTCAATTTCCTACTTTGATCTTTTAGAGTTAATATTATGTTCTCTAAATCAGATATTTCATTTTTATTAGAATCTAAGTTGTTAATAAGTGATTCTATTTGAGAATTTTTCTCGAAAATTTGCTGGTTAAGCTGAAAATGAATAAATACAACTAAATTTAATATCATATTGCGATGTGTCAAATACAAAATCGGAAGTGGTTATTATGAACTTATTTGCCATTCCCTTAAAAACCCAAAAAAACTTGTTCAACGTCACTTCGTAAACTAAAATGTACAATATTGTGTTCTCATTTTTTCCATTTACTATTATAAAATCTAAAAACAACTTACATCAGTATCCGCCTGTACTCTCATTTCTAAATTATTGCGCAACAATTTTATAATATTTGTCTGTTCTTCATCTTTCTTGGACAGTACTTTTATAATATCATCTCTTTGTTCTGTTATAAGTTGCTCTTGTTCCATTAAATTTTCTAATTCTACATCTTTATTTTGCAAAGCTTTTGTCAATTCTTCATTCTGTCGATTAGCTTCTAATAGTTCATTTCGTTGTTGATTTACCTTTTTTCAATACGGATGTAAATTTTGTACAAATTCATTAATATCATGTATTATAATTTAAAGGCACCGAGTCCATGGGAGCTTGGGACTAGAGATAAATAGTGAGCGAGGAAATATCATTATGTATTAAAATAATTCTTATCTCATCTATTATTTAGGCTGCACTGGCACTTGCTTACGTTGAATTTGCGATATAATTAATAATTATTATGTTTTTATTCCAAATTACATATACATTAACATCTGGGATGTTACATCTCATGATTTATTGTATATAATTATTTACACGGTACTTATACTATATATTTAACATAAGTACGTACCTTAGGCAAAAGAACACTAGAGAGAGGGTTGGGACAATTAAATTAACTGCTAGATTGTTTGCCATTATTGTTATTATAAGAATATATTTCTATGAATATTTTGCTTTGAATACTAATAATGATTATAAATGAATAACAGTTAACTAATTATTTTACCAAGTCATTAATTTCATTGCGATTTTCAAGTTCGCCGAAATCTGATTTGAGTTGTGATATATGTTTTTTTAATGATGTAAGTTGCTCTTCGTATGAACTCATTTTTGACTCGCTGTAACATTTAAAAATTTTTAAAATATAATTATAACAATGTACACTTTCAACATGTAAAAAATAATAACAAAGTTTGACGACCTCGGTGGTCTAGCGGTCTAGCATACCGCTTTACGACCGATGGTCGCGGGTTCGATTCCTCGCACGGCACAAACATTTGTATTCATGAGTATGATTGTTTGTATCGGTCTGGGTATTTTCTATGTATAATATGTATGTATTTAGGAAAAAAAATTATATATGTATTTGTATCAGTTGTCTAGGACCTATAACACAAGCTTTAGCTAGCTTAACTTGGGTCTAGATGGCGCTGTGTGAATTGTCCTGAGATTATTATTATTATTATTATTATTATAAAGTACCTTTCTTGTAATTGTTCTTCTAATAAAGACTGCTTTTTCTCTAGTTCAGAAATATATTCTTCTTTATTACTCAAATCGCGTTTAAAATTTTCCTGCATATTTACTGATTCTTTGAAATTATACTAAAAAATAAAACGCGATTTAATGACTCGTAATATAGATATCAGGTAGGAAATATGCGAACTTTGGAACTAGTGCCCTCGGAGTAGCCAACTCTTTAGGTGAAATGATATACAAGGTATGTTAACAATAGTTTATGTATAATTAATACAATGTACAAGGGTATCAAAATCGGTGTCTATGTAATTCTTTCAAATTGACTTTACCTCTATATCCTTTATTGCTTCACTTTGTAATATGAGCTGATTTCTATATTTCTCTACTTGGACATTAACATCATTTAATTCACGTTTAGTTTCCTCTAATTCTTTATGATTTTTCATGTATTCATCTTCAAAAAATATATAAAATTAAATGTTTTGCAAATATAAATAAAAAAATAATTTAAGAAAACTAACCCAGTTTTGTTTTTTTATCACGCAGTTCGCCATATAATTCCTTACTTCGCAATTCAGATTCAAGTAGCTGTGCACGTAAGGATTCATTCATTTCTTGTAATCTCTTTTTCTCTTCTATCTCTACTTGACATTTCTTATCAGTTTCAATAAATTTAACAACGTTTACATTAATTTCATGCTTCATATTTTTTAGCGATTCATTGTAGTGTTCAGATAATTCATTAAGACGTTTCTCCAAATCTTCTTTCCTATAAATTATTATTTTATGGTTTTGTGAACTGTTTGTGTCTAATAATTCGTCATATGTGTTGAAATAGAAGAAGGATTAATTACCAGCCTAATTACAATTTTAAAAATAAAAATTTTATGTCCATAGATTATATAAATGTGCAATAATGGAATAGCGATCTCGCTTCCACTAATGCTAATATACACTAGCGGAAAACTAGTGGAGGATTGTTGTACGAGCATGAAATTAAATCAGTTAGCCCATCTTAGCGAATTAACCAGAAATTAACGTTCCCAGGAAACACTATGACCAACCTTACATAGTACACTAATGCAATATAGACTGCCCTCACTGAGTTATAGACCGTTTTGTCTCATTCATTAGTTTTAAATTATATTATTGTATGGGCAACAGTTGTATTGTTTCAAAAGTTTTTGTTTGAGACAAATAAAGATTATTATTATTATTACTAATCCCCATAAGTAACAATACTATGCCCCTGTGCTCTCATATTTCAGAAATCGGTACTATTTTCACACAGCAATCACACACAGTAATCCTCGAATAAATATTAAAATTTAAAGCTTACTCTGTCTGCAATTTCCCTCGAGCATCGGCTATCTCTTCTAAATGGACAGTATTCTCTCTAATGGATTGCGTTAATTTATTAAGTTCCTTGTCAAAATCCACTTGTAACTTTTGATTCTGTTTCAAAATATACCAGATTAATTAATACATATGAATTCTATGTTTATACAAGAAATGTATAAGGTAATAAAGATACGTAAGTGAAGTTTACCATCAATTTTATATGTTTCACCGAGACGACATATAACAATTGAAACTATATAGTCTTATGTAATATATAACTACTTATTTAGAGGTACAAAAGTGTCAGCCTTAACTAATACAAATGATAAAATGTACGTTTTTTGATGTTATGTACGTATGTAAGTTATATATTGTGTATGTGGATTAGATTTTAAATTAATACATATTACTTGATCTTGCAATTGTTGCACGGTCCGCTCTAATGTCCATGTTTGGGTGCGAGCCTGCTCCAATGCAGCCTCTAATTGCGATGCTCGTTCAGTGCCTATTTTGATTTGTCCTTCAGCACGAGTTAATCGATCTTTAATCACAGTTTTCTTACATTTCTCCTCTTTGAGCTCTTTTTCAAGTTGCTAAAGTTTAATATTATTATGTCATAACCATAATTTGTGTTAATTGGACTAAACGTAGTTACATACATAACTGCCGATGTTGTAGTAAATATCTCCTCACCAGAGGTAGACTATAAAATGTCGCCAGCGTGGGTTACCTAGCCACTCAGTCTCTTATATCTCAGCTATAAACTTTGTAAACTATATATTGGTTGTAATATGCGGATTAGGCAGTGAAATTACAGAATAGGAGACATAATATTTTAGTTTTCTGGAATGAGAAGGCTATCCATAGTGCTGTTCCGTAGTTATTGCTTACTATATGGTGGACCGTCGTACTAAAGTGATGCGCAGTACACAGAGGTATGAGAAATTTGGCTTAAACAAAACTTTTGTTCGAGTATACTATGTTAATTTTAGTGATACTATTACTAGAGAAAGAAATAAATTGACGCCCAAGTTTTTAGTCTAGGTTTAATCTTATCCATGACGCTTATATAAATCAATATTTAAATATTATGTAATTTTTTTTACTACTACTTTTACTACTGCTGTAAACCAAGCATAAAAATATGTTTTGATGTTAACATATTATACAAAAGAAATAATAATACAATTTTATTATACCTCTAATCTGCCTCTGTTACTTTGTGATTTCAAGTGATCTGCATTGTACAGTTGCTTCCGGAGATCAATATTCTGCGAACTCAGTTCAGACAATTCATATGTTAATTCTTCTGTACGCAGTTGAAGTGCTATTGTCTCGTTGATACCTTTTCTGATAATGACAACAATATGGCATTGAAATTAAATGGTTTTAGTTTTGGCCTATAATTTATAGTATTATTTTAATAGCGTAATATCAACATTAACCTTATAAAGTCGGCAATTTTGTTTAATTCCGTGTAAAATTCTACTTTGACTTTATCTAGAGAACAAGTAAGCATTTCATTTTCAGCATTAAACTCGTTTATTTTTTTAGATAGTTTATGCATACTTATGCCCTGAAAAATGTGTTCATAATCAATTCTCACATAAAGAGACAATAGCCCTTGATAGTTTCTGTTTCACCTTTATTCTTTTTCCATAAAAAGCCTTAATATTGTTTTATGTGGACAATGAGGACCATACATGTCCAACGCATATTCAAACAAAATTTAAAATAATTTATTTTATTTTTAGTTATAGTTACTAGATAATTTATAGAATTCTATATTTTTTTTTATAAACATGTATATAATATACATAGAAAACACCCTGAAAAAAACAAACAATAATACCTATGAATACAAATGCTGTATATTCAAGGAACTAAATTATGAATTTATAAAGGCAGCTGCCACTTAGTTCTTATAGAAAATATTCATAAAATATAACTGTCGAATTGTAGACAACAAATGCTGATAAATGACAAAACAATAGCAAAACAGTACTCTCAAAGACTAGAAACAGATCAAGCTGGAAAACGTTAGATATACATAGATGTTAACTATGATACTTATCCATGAAACTTCTATAAAATATCCGATCGAAGTCTTGACCTTTAGTCTTAAATGTATTTGACAGTTAGCTAAAGTTAATGGTGTAAATTAAAAAAGAGGCATAAGTCATATCACACAACCTGCGACAGCCACTATTGACAGCTGATACTATTTAATATTTTGTATAATTTACACTCAATTATTACATTAGCACTCGATGTTACACTATATTAATATCACCATATAATAAAAAAGTATTTTATATGAAGTCGCGTACATTTGTTCTCGATGACATATGTGAATAAACCGTGATTATAATAATAAACGACAGTTATAACGTCGGCTTATAAATTATAAAAGCACCCATTAGTAGAAATTAACTTCTCTATAGGCCCAATTATAGTTATTTTGCCAAAAGGTCGTTGTGACCATATCTTCGGTCGGACATTAAATTAGAAAACTATCATCAAGTAATGCATGCCTTCTCTAATGTTTTTAATGTCTCAAACCAGTCGATGATTTCTTTCCTTTTAATCAATGTCTGTTCACATGTTGCTACCAATTTCGAAGGTATATTATATATTTTATTTGTATCAATGTTCAGACTCTTTTCAAATGTCTGGGAATCTGAAAAGTTTTTAGTTATTTTATTTATTATTATTAAAGTATCTTAATAATATCATTATATTTTCAGACTAAAGATATACTAAATATTTATGCTTGCAGTGCGGTGCTTGGGATAGATACGCGCTTTTTTTTAAATAACACATCACTTTTCCATGACACAAGTTTTGTCATGACTTCAACATAACAATTAGGGGGAAGGGGATTGTTAGTAATGTGGACTAATAACCCCATTGCTAGCAATGTACCATATCAAGGTGACCTCCATGTGGTTCCCGCTAAAAACTATCGTGATAAATTCATGGGGAACTTACCACGATGGGCTAACCGACCTGACTACATGCTCATCTTATCATCTTCCACTGGCCCGCCCAGCCAGCTTAAACCGTTAGCGCAGGCGGGTGCGTCATTCCATTATCATCCGTAACAATGAATGCAACTTAAAATATAAACTTTCAACCATCCCGTTGTTTTGAGGTGGCGCATAACTCTAATAGTTGTTCTGGTGTCAATTTGGCCACATTCATAATATTTAATTCATCGGCGGCCGGAAGGTTGACTTTTTGACCCAACGCGCACATCTTTTGGTGGGTTGACCGCAACGTTGCGTAAAGTTCCATTATCAGCCTCTGTAAATAAATAATTACAAAATACAAGTAAGCCTGAGGTACTTACGCAGACGAAATTTTGTAGTCTTTACATATTTAAATAACAAAAAAACATAAAACCGTGTATGTTTTTATGTTTTTTTGTTATTTAAATACTGAGTTAACTCCAAATGTTGTTTAATATTATATACTTCTTTCTAGTACGAGGATACCTGATACTGTGTCTAGTTTAAATTGGCAGAAAAAAGACAAAATCACCTGTCTATCTTTAAGCTCATTTCTCAATTTTTCAAATTGAACATTATTTTCTTGCCAACTTATTTTGAGTTGCATTAATTTGTCGCTCCGCGAAGTTATAGAATCTGAAAAATGTTTATACCATTATTAGGCCTATTAAACTCAATTCAAATTATATGGGTTGAATATTATTATTTATTAGATAAGATAATAATGCTTATTTTGACCGGTATCATAGAATTAACTATGAGACATAAGGAGCCCTGTTGATAACGACGTGTTACAAGTAGGTGCCTACGACTAATGAAGTCACACGAATAAGTTTTTATGAAGAATGGAATTGCAAACAAGCTGTCGATCTACTTGATAGAAAGTAGTTAATAGTTACACCAGTAAATACCTTTTTCATTCAAATCGCTAAATGGTTGTGTTGTATCCGATATGTTACTTTGTTGCACTTCTAGTTCCTCTCTTTTCTTTATTGTTTCCTAATTAAAGACAAAAGCATGTTATAAACATTTATTCTAATGGTCGCCCAGTCGAAATTTGCCCATAGTTAATATAAAATGTAACATAATTAAGGAACATATAGTAAATTAATTAATTTATTACGATTATGATTAAAATTCAGTACGATTATAGACAAATAATATTAAACTATTCTCAGTTTGACCACAGACTTTAACAATAAACAAAAGAGTATGCGAGTATATATATGTGAGTGTGTGTAAAGAAATCGTTCTATCCCAAATGATGAATACAATTCTACAAAACTGTTTTAAAAAAAATTAAAAAATGGACCGACTTATGAATTCCACTGCTGTGCTTACTTCTAATAATGTGCTCTTCAAACAAATGTTGGATATACAAACCACCGTTCATTAGCACTTTCAATTAACAAAAAGAAAAAATATTGAATACATAACCAACTGGTTAAACAATTAATAAGAGGAAATCAGTCATAGTGATTATAGCAGACCAGTCCCTACAAGCAGCACCCGTTCACGTATTTGTTATATTCTTGCAGTTTTTTGTTTCTTATTTTTAAGATGATATGCTTCAGAGCTTTGGCCTTGTTCATTATCAATATTTTACCTTCGTAACTGGTCCGGCCCACCACGCCGCCACAAGTCATATATTTTAGTGAGCATGACTACTCAAAACACCAGACCATGTCATAGGCTTTGATTTGTTTTAATTCCGTTATATAAACATTCAATAAAAAAGTATTTTTAAACATTTCATTTCTAAAGTTATAAAATAATAGATAACAATTTTGGATTTTTTAAAAATCTATCTCCTAAGCACCTTCTAAGGGTATAGATTTTAATGGGATTAGAAAATATATATAGGATATATATTTATAGATATATATTAAATATATACTGAAGCTAAAACAATTAAATTTTATATTAAAGCTATATAGCTAAAACAAATTTATATGATGAGTCACTTTTGCAAATTCAAACTCAATAAAATATATCCATCCAGCCGCTCCATAAGCCCTTCCGCGGGTTTGGAGTACCCTCTACACTCGTCCTCATTTCCGTCAAGTCATACTCTAGAGACAAACCGCGCCCAACAGCGTTAGGAAAGAAATGTTGACAATTACATATATTTATACTTATACAATTATACTTATACAATTACATATATTTTTTCATTTGTTACATATAATTTAAGCTAGAGAGGGATAAAATTTTAGTACACTTAGACACTTTTAATATAAGAAATAGTACATATAATTTCTTTTCCTGAACAATGTACTCATTACTTATGTATAAGTCTTTGTTCCGTTTGTTTTTCCAAGTACCATAATACCCTCTTCTCTTATTACGAATATGTATAGATACTTAAAAACTCTCTTTTATATATATAAATTCATTATAATAACAAAGTAACACTAACTATTAGTAGACAAGTTGATCAACCTACCTGATCAGGAAGTTCCAAGTCGTTTTTGTATAAATAAGAGTATCTACCCGGTTGTTTCTAAAAAAGAACATAAGCTTATCTATAAAAATTGTGTTTATATACTCGTATATTTAAGGTATGTAAATGAAATAGGTTTATAAACAAAATATTCTTATATTGATTTATTAAAATTTTAATATACGAATACATAATGATGATTAATATAATAATCACAGGACAATTCACACTGTGCCATCTAGACCCATGTTAACCTAGCTAAAGCTTGTGTTATGGGTACTAGACAACTTATATATTTTTAGTACGTACATATTATACATGGAAACAACCAGAGAAATACAAACAATCATATTCATGAATACAAATGTTTGTGCCATGCGAGGAATCGAACCCGCGACCAACGGAAGTAAGGCGGTGTGCTAAACCATTAGACCACCGAGGCCGTCGATATAAGAAAACTTGGTAATGGGAAATTATAACTAATATTATTTAAATCGAATATATATTTTTCTGATTGAGGAATTCTGATAGAAGTACTTAAGTTATACTACCTGTGTTACTGGTACCTTGATTACAGGTCTTGGAGTTTTATTCCCCAACAAAGCTTCGGGCCGTTTAGGTATTGGATTAGATTGTCTCTAAAAACAAAATGATATTACGTAGAGTAATGTCGTAAAACATTTGATATTAGTTACTCATTATTACCCGAATTTTAAATTTTAAAATAATAATAATAATTTGGAAATAAAAGGAAGAAACTGACCTTAGGTGCAGGCAATAATTTTTCTCTTTCCGGGCGGCCTGATTTTATTGGAGACATCTCTTTATTTGCGTTTAGCTCGTCTCTATTTCTGCCGGCCGACTTGGGTCTAAGTTGCTAGAAGTAAATAATTCTTAAGCTATTAAAGTTACAAGTTAAGATAAAAAAGTCAAACCTATTAGTTAGTCATAGCAACTGCTCATGTCCACCCTCTGCTTCTTTTGTATACAATGCGCTCTATTTGCTGTCGATGTATTTTGTAACTTATAACAATAATGGAATATAGAAAAATTTAAATATGTACGTACCATAAATTCGGAGGTATTACCAGATTTGGGTTTATTTGTCGTAGCCTTGAACCTTCCTGGGGGCAATCTTTGTGGTATACGACATTTAATTGGTGTTCGAACAGCATCAATCATGTCTATAATTTTTATTATTATGACATAAAGCTTCATAAATATTAAGAAATAGGTTTTGCAGAGATAATACTAAATATGTATATATTACATATATATGTATATATATAATATTAAATAGAAATAATATATGTCCTCGTGATCCGTCAAGCCATTGAGTCAGGAAAAGGTGAAAAGAGACATATGTACACACTTTTGTCCTTATAAAATTAGTATGGATATATTACTATTTGCTTACCCTGAATTCTTGTTTCATTACATTCGATAAAAGGCATTATTACTCGACTTAAAATTTGGTTATAAAGAAACCCTCATAAAAACGCTAAAAACTGTTAATCATAACCAACTTCTTGATTCTCAGCCACCAAAATTTCATTATTGATTTTTGAAATTCTAAAGATATTTGACACTTTACTTAAGTGCTTATTTTCTACATGGAAGAAGGTAAAGAAGGTAAATATACAACTGCTCGTATAAATTTTGCCAGTTCTCTTCCGTGCTAGGCAGAGAGGAACGAGTGATTAACTATTATCCCCATCCCAATGGCTATTCCCACAACTTCATAACTCATCTTATAGCGTGCTTAAGATTTCAGACGGCAAACGACGCACCTCTTAGCAAATAATCATTAGATTTTGGTCGTTATAACATACAAAAATTATTGTTTTTCAATTTTTATCAGTAATTTTTTCAAGTTGTTGTATTTAACATATAACTAGCAAAGTTTTCTTTTTTTTTTATAAAATTAAGTTTGAGACTTTTGATAATTAATTGAATATACTAGGTATATATCTATATATTAACTAGACTTTATATACTTTATATATACATTATTATGTATATAAAGTCTAGTTGAGTTTGAGTATAACTTTCGATTGGATGCCATTAATCAACGAACGACTAAAATTATTTTGAATTTGGAATCTCATTTAGACGTATCAAACAAATTGAACAATTATTAATTATATACATCAAAATTGTAAACGTTTCTTTTTTAACATCTTTACCATCTATAACATTTATCAATAAGAAATTTCTGATGATAAGTTACTATAGTGACTTTTAGTATAATGACTACAGTAAAACCACAGAAGGAAAAATCTTGTAAGTACCTGTGTTCCTAATTAGTACTTTAAGGGATACGGCATGACATTAGGTCGTGATAATGATCATATTAATATTTCATCGATATATAAACGATTTAAATCTTTTAGCCTATTTATAATTTTGTATTATTGTGTTTGTGCTTTGAAAAGTTATCAGTATTGCGGTTGAATGAAACGCAGAATACGAAGAAGTATATAAGAAATAACAATAGCTAATAGATACCCATACATGTATATTATGTCTAAATCTCATAATGGATATTTGCGGTAGATTGTGCTAATATCTGACCATTAATTACATATACACAACTTGACATGTCCTATGTTATTTCAATGATTATTCCATTAAATAATAAAGATTGATTTATAAAGCAACGAAATTAGTATACTGTACTCTAAATGTGGGTCAGTCTTGAGAAAATGGAGTTGATTCCGTTAATTTTGCTTTAATTGTAGTAAAATTTCTTTAAGAATAATCGTCCTCGTTCATGTCAATTAATGATAACTGTTTTAGGTAATGCAGCCCCTCGCTTGGCGCCCCGCCCGACGGCGGCGTCGGCTGCGCGCGCGGCTCGAAATGCAACAAACCGCAATCTCAATGTGCCACTCTCCCAAAGACAATCTCCGTCACGTGCTCCCTCTTTATCTACAATCGCAAAGGTTATTTATTATATATATACATATAAAAAAGGAAAAGGCAGGGGTTGTAAACATCCCCGAAAATATGCCCAGCGTTGTACATCTATAACATGTGCTTGTTATAAACGGTTTACATGTTTTATGATGCTTATACTTAGAAAATTGGTGTATCTTTAAGTATATTTTTTTGTTTGCCTAATTCTATTATTAATTAGATTTTTAACTAAGTATATTTACAGGCTAAAAGTCCAGTACAACGAAATAATCAGAAATCTGACTCCAAAACTGATATTCAGGTAAATATAACATGCTTCTTGCGTCTATCTTTTGTTCTAGAAAATAATACTTTTTTGAACTGATCAGTATTTTGGACACAACACAATTTTAAAAATAAATATAATACGTAGTGAGAACCTGCTTCAGTTTTGAATCTAATTATTAATAATCAGGATCCTGAAATTAGATTAAAGAATAGGTATATTCTAACATTATGGATGATGATATTAGAAAAACTAGACTATATATTTTTTTACAGATAAACAGAAACCTTGATAGCGACTTACCAACGTTTGATAGTTTTTCTGTAAGTTAAATACTTCTGTAAGCATAAAATGATTGTATCACAGTTTGAAGAGGTTGTTATTGTATTTTCATTGCTTACAGGTTCCATCTAAACCAGATCCTGATTCATATGTTACTGATAGCCCTTCTGGAGTTTTAATAAAAGTTTCTGATCCTAATAGACAAACTAGTACAGATAAAGACCAAGAAATCGATACTTTTGGTAAAAATACTTATATATAGATATCGATGTTCTATTGTCATAAAAAGTTTTATCAAACTTAACACATTTTAATTTCTTACAGAAGTTGAGCAAAAAGACGTTATCCCAAATGATATTGTAAATATGCACCAAATATCAGGTGATAATGAATTTAATCTTAATTTTATGCAGAGTGTATTTAATATTATAATATATGTTGGGTATCTATTAGTAATCGATGATTTTACTTTAAATTAATTTGTTAAGATACGGTTGTTGACTTTTGTTTACACTAAATTGCTTATATTAAAGTATTATCTTATTTGTGTTATTTAGATTGCATATCTACAACTCGACCACATACACCCGGAATAAGTAGTCGACCACAGACTCCAAAGAGCTTGCAGCCCAGCAGGCCGCGTACGCCCAGTCGACCAACAACTCCTGCACATTCTGTACAACGTAACTGCACTCCAGTCAGTCGCCCCAACACCCCAAGCTTAAGTAATACTAACAGACCGAAAACTCCAACATCCCTTCCGTCACCCACTTCAAGAGTTATAACACCAGCGTTACAGCTTCAAACCACCTCTTTTATAAAGAATGACAAAGATCTGAAAACAATTTACGATACAAAACAACAACAGTTTCATCGTATGAAAAAGGAGTTAGATATGAAGCAAGTAAGTATTATTTGATATTCTTACCTACCAGTATCATAATTATAGCATCTAGCAAAATATGTACCCAATAACTAACGCCCCTTTCTAGAATATTGCTGACTTTGCCACCCTAATGTCACGCCACTGATTCTATATTATATTAGTACTTTTTTTAATTTTTAATATGTGGTTATTTTATATGTTGTAGCAAGCATTATTAGAAGTTTTCGACTGCATACGTAGTTTAAGAGAACGTATGTCACATGAAGGTATATCGGGTGATGGAGAAAATTGTCCTCAAAATGTGGTGGTCTTTAATGTAGCAGACTGGGCAACACATGAAATCACGCAATTATGCCGCGATGCTGCTGCCTCTTCCACAACGGATGAAGCGATAGAACTTATCAGCACAATTGTTCCTATTGGTGATTAATATTTATTATTCCAAAAATTTTAATATAATTTATTATAAAAAAAAAATATATATACATTTATTATTTTAGATGAATGTGCTCTTGCCGAATTGGATGCAAAAGCATCAAACGTACCTACGAAGTTTGCAGATTTGTGTCTACAGGCGTTTACAGCACGCCAAGAACTTATTGACTGGGTTAAGGAACTTGTTGAGAAAAACGTATGGCTATGTTTCGTTAATTAAGTAAATATTTGTTAAATACGTCTTTTGTGGTATCCTCTTAATAATAAATTCTTCATTACATATAGGAAAATGGAAGCGGCGAGTCTTTAGAGCGTATTGCGCGATACAACGAGCAGGGTCTAGAGCTTTGTGAGTCATTACGTGAACTCAAGAGTTGTGCGGATGATGTCGTCGGCAGAGTGATACAAATTTATAAGTAAATTTATTACATGTTCATTATCCAAAGGTGTCGATTTAGATTTATTTTATGTATAAATGTCTGTAGGAGGACTAAGAAAACGTAAATTCTAGCAAGTCCTAATAGGAAATGAATTGTTTTCCAAATGGTATCTATAAACCCTTTATACCTTTATTAACTTTATATATCCTTAAATACAAATGACACACACAGACGCATCACACACGACACATACAGATCGCATTACTTTTCATACCTATTGAATTAAACGCACCATGCTATTTTAGCATAGAATCAATTTTAATTATCTGTATATGACGACACGACGAACGTTTAAATTATGCTTGTAGGAGGGCAAGTCGTGAACGAAGTGCGCTTATTGCTGTTGGGGAATCACTGTTACGGGAAACCGCTCGTCTTCGTGAAGATATCGACACACAAGCGAGTATAGTCAAAGAAATGCAGGACCGACGTACTGAAACTGAAGCTACTAAAGAATTCGAAGTTTGTATATTTACATTGATATAAGGATCTCTTAGAGATATTTTGATAATCTTTATGATGGTAGGCTCGGAGTCTTATACTTCGATTGTTGCACGTTGAACCCTAACGCAGTGTAAACGATTATATTATATATGTGGTGTTGTTGTGTTGGTGTGTTATATATGTATAATATATACAAATAAATATTTACCAAGTGTTTCTATGACTTTATTGTCTAGTACTTTACTAAAAGCACTATAGTTCATACAACACTACGATAACTATGTGAGTTGTTCAGATTCTATTTATATTCATTTATGACTTGCTATTATTTTGTTTAATATTAACTACAGTTTAATTTGAAGGAATTACGTCATGCATTAGAAGAAGAAATAGCTGCAAAATTGGCGGCAAAGGATAAGCTCTCCACCACAGAATCACAACTTCGCCAGGCGCGGATACGTGTCAATAAAATGGATCGGCAGTTACGTGAAGCTGAAGCCAGTATTGCTAGTCTCACAGGAACGGTGAAGTCTTTAGAAGATCAGGTATATTTTCTAAAAAAGGTCTATTTACTCACTTTAAACAAGAAATAACCGTTAAAATCAGTCATTTCATCAGTCCATTCTTAATATTTCATCAAAAAGCGGTTGCATTAGAAAAATCCTTTTGGTATATTTTTATACTCGGGGAGGAGAAAAATTCAAAATATAAAATCATAATAATCGGTCAAGCCATTGCTTTGTACTTTGTTTGTATTTATATAGCGGAGTTAAAATTATAAAATTAATATTTATATTAATTTTAAAAATATAAAATTAATATAATTTTACAATTTTAAAATTATAATTTAAAAATGTAGAGCCGACAGCGTGAAGTACAGTTGGAAGCACGTGCGAGAAAATTAAAAGAATCGCTTAAGACTGGTGAAGTGACTAGCGGGCAAATCGCTCATCAACGCGATGCGCTCCAAGCAGAGTGAGTTGTCGTATTAATAACTTAGCATTCAGTATTTTATATGGCCTGCACTTGTCATAATATAATAGCACAATAGCGTTGTCTAAATGTTTTAGTTATTTTTGTCGATCAATTCACTTTAATGAAATACAAATGTACACCCGACCAGCGTCGCGGGCCATTACAAATTTAAAATATTATATTAAATTAATACTAATCTTACCTCCGAAGGGTTTTAAATTTAAAAGAACAAATTGAAACGATGACAGTGCAACACAAATCTACCGTAGAAGATTTAACAAATCAATTGAAAGAATTAAAGAATTGTTTGGAAGAACATAAGCAAATGACAGAGAGGGAAATTGAAATAAAACAAGCTACTAAGGCATCACTAATAGAGAGTAATAGTACAATTGAAGAATTAAAAACGAAACTTATGGAGATAGAAAAGAATAGACCAAATCCAGGTAATCTTTACCTATTAATAAACTATATGTAGCAGTTTCTGTAACTTTTGTTCTTTTTTAGTATATACCTTAAAATTCACACAGACAGCATATATACCTATATACCTATATTCATATATACCTTATAATACGTACAGACATTGTGATATGTATAATATTTTAGAGTTGCCAACGGAAAGAGAGATGGATCTATGGGCCGATCTCCAAGCTACTAAAGATACATTGCGTTTTACAGAAGAGGAAGTGATTGCGTGTAAACGAGAAAAAGTTCGCTTTTTAGAAACCCTCACAAAGATAGCAGTAAGCAATTTAAATCACAGTGGTGCTTTTTAACTATTTATTAGGAATAACACGCAACTAGGCTTTATCTTTTTTTTCAGTTATATGTGCCTGATGTTTTTTATGCGTCGTCCCAAAAATGATTAATAAAACGACTGTTATTTTCAAGAAACCTGACCAAATAAGAGTATGACATCAATTAAATAATATTATATATCAGATCTTTATGACAGTGCATATTATATGAATAATATATTGATAGTGCACTTACCTCATTATGTACCTAGTGGACCTATTAGAGAACCATTTATATTCTGATTCCAAGTATACATAAATTGTTTTAAAATATTGATCGATATTAGCTTCATTTTTCTGTTGAAAACTCCGGCAAAAAATTAAAATTAGATATTCCTCCTCATAAATTTCTTCAAGTGTCTGACTGCAAAGTTACACACTTGATATATTTAAATATTCTAATACGGCGTCGGTGGTCTAGCGGCGTAGCACGCCCCTTTACTTCCGATGGTCGCGAGTTCGATTCCTCGTACGGCACAAACACTTTGTATTCATGAGTATAATTGTATCGGCCTGGATGCTTTCTATATTTGATGATTTTTGTATGAGTATGAAATGTATACATTGTGTCGATTATATACATTTATAATAAAATAAAAAAATCGTCTATCTAATCATTTATCAGTTATCTAGTACCCATAACACAAGCTCTGCTTACCTTAGGACTAGATGGCGCTGTGTGTGAATTGTCCTGTAATAATATAATATTTTTATTATTAATACGATTATTCATAAATTTTTCCTAAAAATCTACTATATTTTAGGAATCTGAGAACAAAGTAGGAATGCAACAGAAACTGGCAGCTGAACTACTAAGCAAAGAAGAAATTATAAGCAAGATGCAAACACAGATTAGAGAATTAACAAAAAATATTAAACTAAAGTTAGTACTGCGATATCAGTATGACATTAATTCATATTAAACAGTCAGTAGCTACAATTTTAAAGAAGGAATATAATATACATATGTATTATGGTTCTAGTGAACAGAAGGTTATACAATATGAGCAGTACGTGCGTGATCTACAGGCGCACAATCGCGCTGTGGCCGACTGTCAGGAGGCGCCTGATGGAATCAGATATGAGGATTTGCAGCAAGAGGTTAAGTGTGACTGACCTAGTTTTGTTTTAAATATTAGCAAAAGTTTTTTTGTTAATATACGTAAATGACTTTGATAGTTTTAGCCCAACAATGGGATAAAGGCAGAGGCAAATGAAGCTATAAAATCTATCTCAAATATATTTAGATAGAAAATCTCTACATACGTAGGTAGTAGACATTAATTAAACGAATAATAAACAGTATTTTGGTACTTTAGATATTTAACCTTAGAATGGGACTACTTGAAACAGTACATCGTAACGAAGAGTTATCGGAGATGTTAATGCAAAGGGAGCAACAACTGGAGCAGCAAGACAAGACTTCACGTGCCCAGGCAAGAGTCATAAAGGTCCTTCCTCATTGCTTTTCATGCTAAAATCAAATCGATATAGGATTTTCTTAGTATATCCATGTAGTTTATTTTCGTTAGTCACAGTACTATTAGGTATCTATCGACGTTTACTTAACTACTGAGTAATACAGGTTCGTGAGGAATTGATCAACATGTTAAAGAACAAGGAAACAGAGCAGAGCCGAGAACTTACCAACTTACAACAGGACCTTGAACATCGTATGAAAATTGTAGATGAAGTGAGAAAGTTAATTTTATTTTTTGTATTTTATTTTAATGCCAGACTTATTGACGTTATATGTGTAGTTACTACTATCACAACGAGTCTATCTACCTATATGTTGTTACTAGTGTTTTGGCTAAAATTGTAAGTTTCAAAGGCCAAAGATTTTTTTTTTTCTAAGAAAAAAAATCCTGTCAAAATATTAATATTATATATATTTACACCAAATTACGATTTTTAATCTAATATATAGTTTATTAATCTGAGATATATATAATATAATAATAATTATTAGATTGTTTTACATGTACCTGTTAATTCTTTTTTCTTGTCATTAAAAGGTAAACAAGCAGATAGCTGCGAAAGCAGATGAGATTCAGGAACTGTTCTCTACACTGGAAAATAAACAACAGCAAATACACCGACTCGAGAAGATTGTGTTGGCGCTGGAAGAGCAGCAGCGTCGAGCGCAAGCACAGCGTACACGACACGAAGAAAAAATTGCCGCATTGGAACACGAGCTCGCATCGGGTGGCAATAGACGAGAACGGTTAGTACTTTAGGAAGGCTTACGCACATTTGTATTTCTTATCATCAGTGAAACAGACTGTGGTCTACAAAGCATATTGCAAGCTCAAAATAAAAATCCAGAGTATGTTAACGCTTTAATGGCTGTGATTGTATATAAACTGAAATTTCTTTTTTTTGTTTCAGAAAATTTCTATTTTTCTGAACAAAACTGAGGACTGAAATTAAAAAAAATTTGTCTATTGCACGCGAGGTTGGATTTGATCGTTTAAATAAAACAAATAAAAGCTTCATGTTTTTAAGTATATCCTGGCTTGTCTTTATCTCATTATTATAAGTATAATTTAATATTGACATTAACTACCTTCATTGTTTAACTATATTTATCACCGAGATCAAATTCTCTACATATTGTAACGATTCTTAATCCGACTCTACAACAAAAGCGGGGTATAATTACGTACTTGCTGTGATAATGATTACCGGGGTTCTCAATACTCCACCAGTACCAAACGGTAAACAAACACTTGCTATATACGAGTTTGAAACCTTAATCATCTGGCTTCGCTGGGCTTAATAGCCAAAGCCGTAAAAGCTATTAATAAAAGGTGCTGTCAATAGTCTACTATGTAGTACCATAGTTATCAATCAATGTCAAAGTCAAATTCAAATTGTTACGAATCAGAATCTGTAGAAACAATGTATCGGCCTTTGCCTGTTTGTCATTTAATTTAGATATTTTTATTAAAAATATTGTACTTTTTATTATTAACATTAAAGTGTATTCTACTCTAACTTTATTTTATATCACTTTAATTGTAGCAATACATTACGGTTTAAAATGTCGGAAAGAAAAGTATTAAATGTAAGTATCTCGCATTATTTTGTTGTTTTGAACATTAAAACTTTCATATAAATGTTATAAATTAGCATTTAATTATCGTTTTCTTATTAATGTTATAAATTAACAGTTCTTAATGGACGTGATTGTTGATTTCAGAAATACTACCCCCCGGACTTCGATCCGTCGAAGATACCTCGTATGAAATTGGCGAAAAATCGCCAATACACAGTACGTCTGATGGCTCCATTCAACATGCGCTGTTGTACTTGTGGTGAATACATTTACAAAGGAAAAAAGTTTAATGCCAGGAAAGAAGATGTCGAGAATGAGGATTATCTTGGTATTAGGATCTACAGGTTCTATATTAAAGTAAATGAAACAGCATTTATCATCTGTGTTAAAATGTACTGTTAATTTCCAGCGATGTATTCAGATTCTTTAAATAGAAGTATATATTATATCTGTCCTTGTATAGCCTTCGTCATATCAGTTTTTATTAAAAAACATTTATCTATTTAATAGTATAAAACTCACATCCCCATAGACAGACACTTTTGCATTTATTTTTAATATGGATTTTGGTGTAACTCTACTTTCAGTGATCTTCAATTCCATATATTCAAACAGAATGTAAAAACTGTAATAGAACTATAATACAATTATAAACCATAACTTTGATTAAATAAAAATGTTGAATAGTTGAAGTAGGTACCAAATTGTATACAAATACAGTCAGTCATTACAGTTAAAATCTAGTCATAATCTCACTGAAGTTATGTAAACATAATTTTCATTTAATTTGATACTTATTCAAATTAAATGAAAATTTTTATAATGTAAAAATATATTAATTTCTATATTTTATAGTTAAACTTGCAATACTCATTTTGTAACCTTCATCTACTTTTAAATTAGTATAATTTGGTCACCAGGAGAAGGTAAGCAAATGCTTATCATATTACTCTCTCACAATTCCAGTGCACTCGATGTCTTCAAGAAATATCTTTCAAGACAGATCCTAAAAACACAGACTATGAAATCGAGGCAGGGGCAACACGAAACTTCATGGCATTAAAGTTGGCTGAGGAACAGGCCAAGCGAGAAGAGGAAGAGCAAAAGGAAGAGGAGGCCAATAATCCCATGAAATTATTAGGTACAAATAACATTGAGAAAATACTTTATATTGTCCAAACATATTCAAATTATATTATATGTTAATGTATGTCTAAAGTATAATTTTTGCTGTTTTATATCACTACACTTATTACATTGTTGTATGATGCTCATAATATCCGTCATGTCTTGCTATTCCTGAGTACTGGGTGTCATATTTCCTTACACTGTAAATTAACAGCTCACTCCTCTGGCCAAAACTTGGCATAAAAGGGAAAAATTTGGCAATAATAATAAAAACAATATAATATTGTGTGCAAAGATCTCATCTATTATTAAAATTTGTGTTTAGATCTCTTTTGTCATTTTCAATAGAGGATCTTCTAATAGGGCTATGGCCGTATATTGTAGTATGCTACAATCACCTTTCTAAGCATTTTCAACCTCAATATATAATATATGCTTTATCAGTTGTATGTGTACATAATAGGACTGTGAGTAATTTTGTCACATTGATGTTCTTAAATCTCCTGTTTTTACCTATATCTTTATGTTCTGCATACACTTGTGTGTGTTAGAATATTTAGGACAGAAAACATATATAGTAACATATACTTGTGATAAAAATTAAGAGACTGTAAGTAATTGTTGAAATTGAATTGAAATTGACCTACTTTCTCATTACAAAACTGTCGAAAACAGTAAAATATGTAATATATGTAATAAACATGTATAGTATAACTTCTTTAAGTAGCAGAGCCATTTGTTTTATTAAGATCTAATTTTGTAGGTTCTTATTTAATACTAGTTTAATGACCAAGCAAATAGTATGTTTTTAACATTTAACTCAAAATTATTTACAGAATATAGAACAGAGCAGTCTAGGCAAGAGATTGAGCTCCTAGAGAGTTTGGAAGAATTGAAAGAGTTGAACAGGCGACAGCGTGCTGTAGACTACGAAAGTATGCTTAAACAGTATCAGCCAGAGACTACAGAGGAGCGGAAAGTCAGGGAACAGAAGGAAGATGACGAGTTCATAAAGTAAGTGTGTTATCTGGTTTGTAAGTTATGAAGAACAATAATATTAATGTATACTAGAGAACAGAAAAATGATCTTCCTATAAATCAATCTATCATAAAAAACAGTAAATAGTTCTTATTTCAGAACTGTCCATACTTAAAATAGTTATAGAAGTACTTAAATTATTATATGTATGTAGAACAATTGTATAAATATTTGTGACTGGAGCGGGAACACAATAATTACTTTATTAAACATCAGAATAACTTTAATAAATGTGTATATTTCCCATAAAAACATATATCAAAGTAACATAAAATTTATAAAAAGAATGGTGGGCAAGCTACCATCAACAATATTTACAAAAAATAATAATTAAAATCATCCCCATCAATGAACTATTTTAAGTATATATAGTTCTGTTTTTATATTAGAATAACAACTACATATATAGAAAATATATAGTGCTGTTTATTTAATAAAATCTATCTTTTATTGAATACCCATAGTAAAAGTATTGTTTAAATTAGCACTAAATTGCGCTATGTTTATTAATTATTGTTATTGTTTTGTGGCAAATAATTTTATTTTTATTATTACAGGTCCATAAAGTTTAATAATACATCATCAAACAAAATAGTTGCTGAAGAAATAATTGAAGATGTAGATGAAGATGAGCCTCCAGCTAAAAGTTCGAAAATAGAACTAAAACCTAAAAAAACAGAATTAAATAAAGAAGCGAGTTGGAACAGAAGTATAGGAGTATTATCAAAACAACCATCATTGGCTAACCTTGTTAGAACTAAGAAGACGGAATCAGTCAATGACAGTAAAAGTACTGTAGTTAGTGATACATCCACTGAACCAGAAGTTACTGGAAATAAAGGAGATGCCAGTAGTAGTGGTTCTGCACCAACAGGTCTCGCGCTTTTAGCGAATTATTCAGACAGTGATAGTGATTCATAGTTAAGTGATTTTAATCCATTCTGCTGTAATTCTGTGCATATATTGCTTTGACATTATTTATCCTTACTAATATTATAAAAGCGAAAGTAACTCTGTCTGTCTGTCTCGCTTTCACGCCAAAACTACTGAACCGATTTAAATGAAATTTGGTACACAGATAGTGTAGACCCTGAGAAAGGACATAGGCTTACTTTTGAATGCGATAAAAGGGTTGTAGGGGTTAAAAGGGTACATGCAAGGTTGTACGTAAGAATCGTCATTTTTAAAGCTATAAGCTTGAAACTTATATTTTAGGTTGGTGATTAAATATGAATAAATATGACATTCATTAATAAATGTTGTAATAATTTTACCCTTATGGGTGTAAAATAAAACAGGGGATCAAAGTTTTAATGTAAATTCATGATTTTTTGAGCTAGAATGATTAAACTTTTTTCATTGGCTATTTTGGGTTTATTTTTTAAATACCTCACTAATATATTCATTATCATTACCTCACTAATGTTATAACGCCAAAAATTACTGAACCGATTTTAATGAAATTTGGAACACATAAGAATGGATAACCCTGAGAATGGATATACTATACTTTTTAATTTGGAAAAGGGTTATAAGGGGATTGAAAAGGTATTAAGGTTAAGGGTTTAAGGTAAATAAAGAAAAATGGGTTGTAAGGTATTTAAAGGAGAGTTAAATGTTTATATGGAAATATTGTCATTTTTGAAGCTAGAAGCTTGACGTTTAATTTTTAGCCTATTTATTAAATATATATTAAGAAAAACTATTTATAAAATAAGGGGTTGAAAGAGTTATGAAAGATTGTATGGAAGTGTCGTCATTTTTGAAGCTAAAACGATGAAACTTTTTCATTTGGCTTTTATTGGGTTAGGTTATTAAAGATTTTTTTCCTGATTTGGTCACTATTTTATGCGGACAAAGTCGCGGGTACAGCTAGTAAATAATGTACAAGGCTAGATATTTTGTATCTCTATTTGTAAATTTATAGAATCCTTATTAAAGTTCTTGTAACTTATCAGTTGCAATCTAAAAATCTTAATTAACTTCGTAACTGTCTGTAAATATAAAATTTATTACTAACGACATAGTGAAAATTATGGAGGAGTATGAAATTTTGTACACTTTAGTTTATATAGAAGAATGCAGAATGCTAATATTTTTTTAAATTATGGAATAGATCGCTTTTTAGCGATAAAGTCGCTCGTTGATACCTCTTTATCTTGTTTATTATTGTGTAATTCATCTTTTTATACAGAATTGTATATGTAACTGTATTTTCTGTAAGAGAAACATTCATTCATAAAAAATACATTAAATCAATAAAAGAACATTGCACACAATATACTGTTTTGTTAATTATATTAGAATTTCGACTATTAGTTTGTATAAATGTAAAAGTGTGTCTGTTACCTTTTCACAACTAAACAGCTAGTCGGATAACAAACAAAATTTCTAAAATAATAATATTATAATAATGATAATAGCCAAGTAACTACATATAACATTAGATATCTGCGAGTGAAAGTCCCGTAAAAAACTGTCCAATCGTTTCAGAGATTTTTAAGAACAAACAATGAGACCGACTATTTATAAATTAATATTTTAACGCTATATTTCATATGGGATATTGGATCTAATAGAAGTTGTATATCAATGTATCTACATTTTATTTTCAGTATCTACCTCGCACGTTCTTGTAAGTTCTAGTTAACACAATTAACTGTCTGAACTGAGTCCTTGAGACTAGATGGCGCTGTGTGAATTGTTCAGAGATATTATTATTATTAAAATAACAATTCCGTATCTACCTAGGTACTTAGAATGTACGTAGGTAGATACTGTATATTCAGTATCTATCTACATACTCTCTAAAATAATTTTAGAAAGTACCTAGATAGATATCATTTTTGGTTTGACCAAATTTCCGAACTTGCACATGTCTTATTTTTACAAATCCTAAAAATACAATTACGTAGGTACATATCAAATAAAGAAAAAAATAATCTGCAAACTGTAGGTTAAAAGATTATACAACCTAATCCTCTAATGACAATGAGCGGAGAAGTTGAATAGCCCATGACAATCGGCACTGAACGGACATAGTGGAAGCGCCGAAATTCCTCCGATAAGCCTTTGTGTTCGCTGACTTCCATTTATTATGGTGTCAAGTGCATTCATGGAGTGACTTTACGGGCGTTTTCTTGCTTAGATGAATGCTGTAGTTGTATACAGGTTGATGTCAATAAATATTTATTTTTACGTGAATACTAAAAACTTAATTTACTTATACTATCTATCTATACATATACGTATATTACATATCTTTCCTCAGTCATCCACCTAGTGCGAATTTTCTATTTTTTTAGCAACCAGTCTATTTTGTTCTTTTTATTATCCTGCTGCCACGCTGAATATTTTATTTGTCAAAACAGAAAATATCTTGCTATCTTAATCTCTTTCTGACCATAACAATATATAAGAGTGCTTCATAAGTACTTATATAATATATAAGCTTGTTGATACCTGAAATTCTACACCAAGTAATGTTGGATAGGAAACTAACGTTTCGACCTCACATCAAGCGTGTCCGCGACCGAGCCGCCTTTATACTAGGGCGACTCTATCTTTTTATTAACAAGCATAGTAAAATGTCGCTTTACAACAAGCTGACATTATACAACGCTTGCATCCGTCCCATCATGACATACGTCAGTCCCGTACACATACCCTACTATCTAATTAACAGACTACCGACTACAGATTATACAGAATAGGTTTCTGCGTAGAGCCACTGGTGCGCCGTGGTTCGATCGTAGCGTAGATCTCCACCGCGACCTTAATCTGCCCTTCATCAAGTAGTTTATAAAGGAAGATTTTCGACGCTACTTCGACTGGCCAATCCCAACTTAACCCGCTTATAATCAGTACGGTCAACTATGCACCGAGGAGCAATATCCGACATACGCGACAATGTCGCCCGAGGCACGTTCTCATTGATCCCGACGACCCCATAACGGCAGGAAACCTCCCCACGGGCCCACCCACTTCGTCCCGACCACACTTTTACATACAAACACGACACCGTCCTCGCCGGCGAAGACGACGACCTCAAACACATAACATCGCGCATTCAACCGTTAGCGCAGGGGGTGCACTATTCCATTATCATCCTCTAAAAAATCCCCCGTCCAACTCAAACGGGGATCGATATTACGACGGCCTGAGCCGAGGTTCGAACCCTTAGTGGTGCCCTCAGACTAAAGTCGTATCCGTCAGGCAGAAGTTGGCCTTCTGCCGCTCCATAAGTCCTTCAGCGGGTTTGGAGTGCCATCTGCACTCGCCCCCTAACGTCCAGTGAAGCTGTAAAGGCTAGCTGCGGCCAATAGCATTAGAGTAGTCCGAAAAAAAAACTAAGTAAAGTTTCGTTCTTAAAAATAATCAGCCTGTTAATGTTAAAAAAAAACTTTAAACTACCTGCTGTTGATGGTTGTTACTAAATTAATTGATTGGAAAAACTATTATATTGAAGGGATACTGTGTATTCCCAATGCTTCTTAATAGTATTGTAGGCACATATCTAATGTTGTGATGAGAGCAATTAGATTTTAAAAATAAACTATATAATAGTAATAATATCCAGACAAAACGGTTTACAATCCAGAGGGGCAGAAGTCTATGCCCTTATCAGTAAATTATTACAATGAAAAATCGACGACGACAGCATTATTTTAACGCAATTGAATCAAATCCTAATTGAAATAACATAAAATGTATTCATTTAGGTAATATTAATCCCATGTTTGTATGTATGATGAATAAAACGAAAATATAAATAAATGTCTAAAATGTCAAACGGGTAGTAGGTATTACCTAAGTACAAGTCACCTATTTGATGTCATGTCGATGTAATTCCACCAAAAGTCAGCCTTCTGAAGTTCTAAATGAGTTTTTTTTAATATTCTTTGTTGCGGGAATGGAGCAACGTGACATTTCTATTTCTTTCATCTTTTGTTATCTTTTTATTAAATTGCTTACGTTGTGATTGGTAAGAGTTGTATCAAGTGATAGAAACCCTCACAGCATGACAATTGTTAAGTACCAAATGATACCGATACATCCGCGACATAAGAATAGAAAGAATGGATCCTCTGTATGCTGTTAACCAGAAATGTTAAATTAACAGTCAGGGACACGCCCATACAACGTCAAATTAACAAATTAATATTTCTACACGCTAGGCGGTACCTGCGGATTCCTGCAAATGGGCCTAAACAAAAAGCGCATAACTCTCCGTGTTCAGATAAATACTGCTTACGAGCCGTATTTTTTCATCGACATAAATATTGTTTTTTTCATAGATGTAACGGCTTTGAGCAGACGAGTAGATATACAATTCTGGGAAGTAAAGTTGTCGCGGCGCCGTCGTCCGTTCAGCCGGCACAGTGTTGGTTGCCCGGCCAATAAATAAAAGGCTGCCTGGGAAATATTATGTTACATCTTGGGGTGTTTTTTGGGCGAGTACACTCGGCGGCGGTGGTCGGCCGCCTTTGGCTACTCGAATCTGCTTAACGGGGCGGATTTCACTGGCATGTGAAAGGAGATAGTCGCACATCTCATTTAATATACTAAATGCTCTAATTGTTCATGATTTTCTATGAATTTATAATACCTCTGTAACCTTAGAGGATGCAATGCAAGTAAAATTTTTAATTAAATTTTTTTTAATAACCGGAGTAAATTCAGAGTAATTGGATTATTTGTCAGTTACAATAACAAAATGTAAGTACATATTGACAAAGTTGAAAATAATTCTGATAATGACCATATGAATCTCTATTTATTTATTTATTTATTTATTTATTACATCACATCACACATCTCAACACAATAAAAAAAAACGATGCCGACAGCTGCATATAAATTGTTATATAAAAAAAAAAACCGTAAATAAAAATAATTCATAAAATTAGGGATGAAATCATTATATACAAAGAAAAAAAAAAAAATAATAATAATAAATAAAAGAACAACATAGTAACAAACCAATAATAATAATAAAGTAAAAAATGCATTTCCTATCCACCACTGCGGAGCATCGCCACCGCGTCACTGTACTGATGTGTGTAAGGGGCCCATCTCAGCATTATGCCATGACAAAAGCCACGACGCTGATTTTCAGTGGAACCCTGAATATGTGATTCACGGACAAATGTGCATATAATATAATTAATTTAATACAATATCATATATAATAGACTACATACATAGTTTAAAGGGTATTTATAAATAAATAGAATATGCTGTGTGGATTACATGATTCAATAGCTTATTTCATAGTGAGTGAACGAGTAACCAAAATATTAAATGAAGAAACTGTATAATTAGAGGTATGCAGGCACAAATAAAGGGGGTGCAAATGCGAGGTATGTCTAGCAGTTACTACTATATAGGACATATAATTATATTGTATTATTGACTATTATCAACTTGTGTTAAAACTATAATTCCTGACTCAATAAAATCAAGTTAAACTTAGTTTTAAAAGTGTACAATGTCTACTACTACTACTAATTTGACCTATTTGTTGACGGTTGACTGAGAGAAAAGTCTTTATTAAACTTAATTAGTCTGCAATGTGCACCTATAATTGTGTATTTCTGCATTAAAGTTTTAATAAATAAATAATTTTAAATTTCATGGTTAATGCAGCACATAGGTTATATATTACCTAAATCCAACGATGCCGTCATATGTGTTTTAAAATCAAAGACTTCAAAGTTAATGAATATTGGTATTTTCTCCAAGGTATTTACTTAAAGTTGCCTTGAAAAGGTAATAACACTGCCTTATTGTAACGATACATATGTCCTTTGATATATTGTTTGTGCCCCTTCTTTACTGTATGTTGCGAATAAAGTATGTATTCTATCTGTCAAATTCACGATATCTATAACGAGACAAATAGTAGAGTCCGTAGAAACCTAGCCAAAATTTTTTTCATAGCGCAACTTGTTAGTTACAACATAGATAAGAGAATTTTCAAAATAATATCTAACAAATTATAGTGTAAATACCGTAAAATGGCCCTACTTTGCTCCTACCTGGTTAACTATGCTACATTTTTGCGAAATGATTTACCACCTAGCTAGTCGTAACACATTCGATAAAGTTCTGAATGCTCTGTAAATATTTCATGACTGTTACACATTGCAATAACATTGAAACAGAAATATTTCAAAAACAGTTATTGTTTACTGTTTTTAATTCTTAAACATTGAGATAGGTGACATAAGGGGGTTCTTATTAGAACGTAGTTTAAACAAGTAGAGT